AGCACAGCCTTCTCTCTGCTTCCTGGTGTGAAGTCTTGAACCACTTTCTTCTGCCACATCCTTTCACCAAGATATTCTGCCTTACTTTGGGCCCAGAGCAATAGAGTCAAACATYTATGGACTGAGACCTCTGAAATCATGAGCCCTCAATTAAACTTTTCCTCCTCTAATTGTTCTTATAGCAATGAAAAAATGGACTAAAACAGAGCTGAAGACAGAAAGATCTTTTTGGTAAAGGCAAATTCATGACAATTATTTAAGCAAGGGTTACTCTTGTTTTCCACATGATTTAAAAGATCAATTTAGCAAAATTCCCAATTTCAGTAACCTGTGTTACTGAACACACAATGCGTATACATGTAACATTGTGACATCAGTAACTGAGGGGGAATGGTGTGGGAGCTGTATGGGAGGAATGTTTTGTACATTATCAAGTTAGGCTGCTATAGATTCACATCAGAATGGTATCTCTCATATTAAATAGAACCCCTGTAGGAACCACAAAGAAATGAAAGGGCTGGGAATGAAAATGTTTCATTAAAAAAATCAACTAAAGAGGAAAGAAGATAATCTTGCAGGAAAGGAGGGGCTATAAGATATTCTAGGAAACAAACAAAAAATAATACAAATCAGTCTTCCCTTATCAGGAATTGTTTGAGGTGAAAATGCTTTTAACACTCCAATAAAAATATAGGGAACACTCCAATCAAACTACAGGGAGTGAAAGAATGAACCATAACAGGATCTGACCTGCTTTCTATTAAACTGAGGACGAGCATCCAACCCCGGGCCAGATCTGGGGAAGCATGTTCTAGGAAGAAGGAATACAAAGTACATAGTTCTTAGGCGTTAATGAGAGAGATGGAGATTCAAGAAGGCCTGAGTGTGTGACCACAGTGTGGAGCAGTAACAAGTGGAAAGCCAGACATAGGTCAGATCAAGGTCACAATGGGGGCAGGGTGTTCTTGTTTTTGTTTTTCCGATAAGAAAACTGAGGCTCAGGGAAGTTGAGCCATTCTGATGAGATCCTCTTCTGCACCTTGATTCCAAAGTCCTTACTTCCCAAACACTACCTGGGTCAGACCCAGCCATATTTTTGAATGACTACTATCTAGGTATCTATTTAAAACTATTTTAAATAGTTGTAAAAGATATAGATGTTCATAAGTTTTATTAACTATACTTAAAAATTTAGTCTAGTTCCCCACTGAATACATCAGTAGAGTTCCTGCTCCCTCAAATAGTTCTCCAATCAGAGTAATTTTCTTAAGCACCTAGCAAGATGGATGTTTTGAACATCTTAAATTTAACTTCTACCAGACTCCTGAGCAAGAGAACAAAGAAACCATGGACTGAAACTTCTGAAACTATGAGACAAAATGCTACAATAAAATTTTCCTCTTTTTAAGTTGTTTTTATGCAGCATTTTGTTACAGTAATGGAAAAGTGTTTCCTGAGGTCACTAGCTCAGATCTCAGTTGGGCCGCAGGAGACAGGAATGCATTAGAAGGCTCCAGGCCCTCTCTCTGACTCTGAGCCCTTCCAATCCATCCTGGAAGCTGAATCCAGCTCATGTTTCTCATGTTTCCAGCATGAGAAACATTCCTAGCTTCATTTGCCATGTTCAGCATTGTTAAATTTTTAGTGTTAAAGTGATTGGATTTTAATTGAGTTTCTTTTATTGTAGTTATGTCTTTATTAAAAAGATGAAAAAATGTTATTACCTATTTGGATTATAATTAATCTTACATTAAAAACAAGTCCTCAAGAATTATTTTACTTTCCATTGTATTTCATCATTTTAATTATCATCTGTTTTCCATATTTAAATTTTTTTGTATRGTTCCTTTCTTTAGCATTCTTTTCTTTCCTCTTTATCCTTGCATTTTTTTATTAGAGCATTAAAATTATACATAGTATTTGGGTTCATTTAGACAAATTCCTGCATTCAAGGAATTTGATTTCAATTCCCATTCCCCCTTTTCCTTCCCTCCTCCTTCTCCCTATTCTCCTTCCTCTACTGATCCTCTGTTCACTCCTTTATTTATTTATTTTTTGATTGATAATTTCTACATATAAATAAAGATGAAATTCTCTTTGGTATATTTATATATAACATGATTTTGTTAAATTCATTCCACATTTCTTCCTCTTTCTCTTCCTTCCTCCCTCCCTTTAGTCTCCTTTTTCTGCTCCACTGATCTTCCTTATATCTTTATGATATCCAATTTTCTCCCCAACTGACTTCTTTTCCATTTTTTTCTCTAGCTTCTACATATGAGATAAAACATTCAATTCTTGATTTTCTGGATCTGACTTATTTCACTAATCTTGATAGTCTCCATTTCTATCCATTTACTAGCAAATGCTATAATTTCATTCGTCCTTATGGATGAGTAAAACTCCATTGGGTATATATGCCACATTTTCTTGATCCAATTATCTATTGACAGGCATCAGGGTTGATTTCTTAATTTAGCTATTGTGAATTGTGCTGCTATAACATTGAAGTGGCTGTATTGCTATAGCATGTTGATTTTAGTTTTTTTTGGTTAAAAAAAAACCATTTTTATGCCTCCTTACAAATGACATGAAATGTATGTTCTCAGTTAGCTTTGTGACAGAAAGGCTGAGTTAATTAGAAAGTCTGTCTTGCTTCAGTGTGGAGTAAGGGTGATGTTCACAGAAAAAAATGGATCCAATCCAGGTGTAGTGGCACATGCCTGTAATCCCTGGCTCTGTAGGCTGAGGATTGCAAGTTCAAAACTAGCCTCAGCAAATTAGGTAGACACTGTATCAAAAGAGAAGAATAAAAAGGATTGGGGATGTTGCTCAGTGGTTATGAGTTCCTGGGTTCAATCCCTGGTACAACCAACCAACCAACCAACCAACCAACCAACGAACAAATGGATCCATTCTGACCAGTTGCTTTTGATTACATGTCTGGGCTCCAACTAAGACAACATTGGTAACCAAACCTCTTGCTGGTTCCTTTGGAAAATGCCAGTCATCAACCAGTATCTCAGTTAGGGAGCATCAGCTGTGCAAAGCCTATCCTTTAATGTTTTTCTAATTGTCACAAGCAAAATTTCCAAACATCATCAGTTGACACTCATGAAGTGGGCATATCAAATCATGGAGACTGGCCTGCTTGCATGGTTCTGTTTCCTTATAAGGGTTGATATTAAGGGTGCACGTTATAATCACACAGGAACTTGTGAAAAATATGGATTCCTGGGCCCCACCTGGGATAGACCAAGTCAGGCATGAGAAGCATGGAACTGGGAATCTGCATTTTTCAACAAACAATCCAAGCCATGCTGCCTTGCAAAGGCTTTCTTGTGCACCATCCCAGCTCTGTGCTGGAAAGCTGTGTTATCTGAGGCAAGTCATTTGCTATTTCTCAGCCCCAATTTTTTTTTTCCAGAGCTGAAGGAATGGAGTGACAATCACTTTGGAGGGGGAGGGTTAGTTGCTTAGATAAGGTGGGAACCCACCCAAAGACAACACTCATTAAATGTTATTTATTCTAATTACTGAACTTAGTTAGCTAAGTTCAATTCAAGGGTTTGTGAGGTATCCAGAAAAAAACACCAACAGAAAAGCACACACTTTCACCTGCAGAAAGTCTTTTAAACAGCCTCCTCACTTGTCTCCATTCTTTTCAAAATCCAAATACTACAGGCTTCTTTTCTAACCACTTCCCTCCACAAAATCCAAAACTAGAGAATTCAAAGTTGGCAGATTCCAGAGCCTCCCCTGAGTGGAGTGAAAAACAGATACAGTGTCCTGGGAACAATGTCCTCCTTTTGCAAAATGGTCCAAAATAAGTTTTTTTTTTTTTTTTTGTACTGGGAATTGAACTCAGGGCCACTTAACCACAGACCCACATCCCCAGCCCTTTTTTATTGTTTATTTAGAGACAGGGTCTTGTTAAATTGCTTAGGGCCTTGCTAAGTTGCTGAAGCTGACTTTGAGCTTGTTATCTTCCTGCCTCAGCCCCTGAGCTGCTGGAATTATAGGCCTGCACTACCACACTCGGCTCCCAGACCTTTATTATTTTCCCCCTTTCTTTATTTTAAACTTATTTATTTTTTATTTCTTCTTTTTAGATATACATGGCAATAATATATATTTTGATATATTAAACATATATGGAGTATAACTTTTCTAATTAGGATCCCATTCTTGTGCTTGTACATGATGTGGAATTTCACTGGTTATATACTCATATATGAACATAGGAAAGTCATTCATTCTATTGTGTTTTCTATTCCCATCCCTTTCTTCCCTTCATTCCCTTTTGTCTAATCCAATGAACTTCTATTCCTCCTTCTGTTAGACCAGGACACAAAGAAAAGACCACTGACTCCAATTAAAATCAAATTAAAGCAAGCTTATTATTTCGACTGGCTAGGCTGCCTCTCCCACCCAAAACTTCGGGAACAAGATAGCCCCTCAGCTTTCTTGCAGCCCAGCTTTATAGCCCAGAAAGTTATACAAAGTGGAGTTACAGATAATAAAACTCTGAGGAGCATAACACAAAGGCTAGTTTATATTTTTGCTGGCTCCAGCATCAGAATTTATGAAGGTCATTAGAGCCTCAGAGAGGGTTGTTATCTGGCCAGGGAAGGCCAAGATTTGTGAGGCATCACTAAAGTTTCAGAGAGGGCCGTTATCTGGTCAGAGAGAGCCAGGAATGGGTGAGTTGAAGGCATGGGCAGGCATTCTAAACTAGTTAAAATTTGCAGTAATTTATAGTAAAGCCGAAATTATCTTTCTATGGCTTTGTGGTGAAATGGCTCCCAATTTTAAGAGAAAATCAGCCTGGGTCTGTCACTACCTAGGCTAGCACTGATCACTACAAGACCAAGGTCCCAGCCTGGATTCAAAGGAGAGGTTTAAAGGTCCCCATGCCCAGGAATTCACTCTGATATCTTGCTCCACCTGCTGAGGCTGATCATTAACTCAGTGCTTATATAAAGAAAGGGGCTATCTTTGGGATAAGGACAGCATCGCCTGGAGCCATGGCCAGCAGCACATTAAGCCCCACTACCAAGGCTGAAAATCCAGAACTGCCTGCATTGTCAGGGCGCATCCAAAATGCTGCGGATATCTCTGTCATTGTTGTCTATTTCATTGTGGTGATGGCTGTTGGGCTGTGGGTATGTGGGATCCCAATGGGCTTCAGTTTGGGCACGAGGGTTGGGGGAAAATGTTTCAGGGTAGGAGAGTATGGCATAAAAAACTGAGATAATATTAACAGTTTTCACAAATGTCATTTCTTTCTATTTGGATCATTCTTCTTGCATGTGATGTGTGACATAAATAATGCTTTTACTAAATTTTTTTTTTCTTAGCAACTCTGTAATTTGAACAATCAGCACTTGGAATTTCAGACTTATTTTGTTTAGCATCTCCAACATTTAGCATAATGAACAAAGATGTTATTTTTATTATATCATAATTATTTGATGTTTTTCGTTTTCTGGCTTAGTGAGTTGGACACTTAATAATTACTGTACATTTATGCTTTTGTTTTAGGAATGAGATTAAGGCTGCAAATTTCCTTTCAATCACAGTTGGAATAATACCTCATATTGTTTTCATAAATGAAATTAAACAGAGCAGCTGGGATAGAGTTGAGAAATATGAATTACTAAAGTCATCTCAATTCTCTTTATGAATCTATATTTTGAGGTCCTCCAAAAATTTTTGTTTTAACAGGGAACTGTTCCATGGAACTGTTTTTCTCTGCAGGAACGCTGAAAACACTGTTGTCAGCACCCTGGCCAGAAGAGGATCTCTGGGGTCTTTTGTGCTTCTGCAGTTCTTTTACCTTCATATGTCTTCTTTTCTGCTCAGGCGATGCTGAAGACCAACCGAGGAACTGTTGGAGGCTTTTTCCTGGCTGGTCGAGATATGTCCTGGTGGCCGGTAAGTGGGGCAGAGTTTCATGGAGATAAATTTCCTGTATTTGTGTTTAAGATCGAATAAAGAAAACAGTAGTAATATTGATCATTTCTGATGTGTTTTGGCTSTTTTCTTAGATCTCTGGCCTCATGGTTGTGCGCAAGAAGATAGTGTCATCATTTATGTGAATGGGTTTAGTCTGGAGTTTAAGGACCCCCAATTCAGTTTTATCTCATGTGCTTTACCCCTGATCCTCATCAAAAATCTTCTGCCTTGCATTCTTACTGGTTCCACACATTCCTACATTTCTCCCAATCCTGAGCTAATGATGTTCTTCCTGTCTGAATTAGCCTCTCCTCTTTCAATTCTTATCTTACTCCCAGTTTAATCCACTCTTGCCTACTCCTTATGTCTATGCACTTATTAATAGTGGATTGTGTTCCCTGTGATGGTATCAATAGTGATGCATCTTTGACTCTTGACCTTTTGGGTACTCTTTCTGCATTTTGATGTGACCCCCGTCCCCTTAGTCAGATTTCCATTTCAGCAGAGGCTTTATCTTTCCCTACGAACTTGGAGAGTGTCAGAACTGGTTGTAAGCAAGTGCTCAGTGAATTATTTTTCACAGATATGCTTACTCATGTAAACAGTATGAAAGGAAATAGAGATTGGGAAATGACCTGCCCAGGATTAACAAAACAGATCATTTATAAGCTGAAAATCAGTTTTTATTTGGGGTGTCCAATCAGACATTGCCTTCTTAGTATTGTTTTAGGAAACATTCAAATCTCAATCAACTACCTAATCATAAATCAGCTCAATCACTTCTCTGATCCCGAATATCTGAATAGAAGAAGTGATTTTACAGAGGTCTGAAAAGTTGGGAACATACATTTTGTTTGGATCTGACGGCTGTTAATCTATGCTCACTCAGAGGATTTCTCTTCATCTGTCAATCTTAAAAACAGCAGATAATTCCAAGGAAAGATAGATGTATAAAAAGAAGGATGTGGGGCTGGAAGGATAGAGAGGAATTCCCTTCTAATAAACTTTGTGGTCCTTGTTGCTGATTCAAGAGGCAAGAATTGACAGGAAGTCTGGCAGTTCTTAACCAAGGGCATCTTCAACTTAGAGCTTTTAAGTAGATGGATTAATGATCCCTTCAGGCAGGAGTAAAAAAGCTATTCTGAAAAAGGCCATATTTTAAGTATTTTATTGTTTATGGGTTATATATTGATTTCATATAAATTTGCTATTTTAGCATAAAAGCGCCCAAGGGGAATGTGTAAACCAGTAAGCATGGTGGCGTTCTGATAAAATTATATATGGGCACTGAAACTTAAGTTTCCTATTCCACTTTTCGCAAAAATTTCTTTTTATTTTAACTATTTTAACCACTCAAAAATGAAAAAAAAATTCTTCAATTTATGGGTCATACAAAAAATGGTGCCTGTGGAACATAGATTGCTGACCCCCTGCTCTAAGGAGTAGTGATAGAAACATGTCAACAGCTATCTGTTTTTAAGAAGTCTGATTTGGATCTTTTCATCCCAACCTTACCCTGTTCTCTTGCATTCCAGATGGGTGCCTCTCTCTTTGCCAGTAACATTGGCAGTGACCACTTTGTGGGCCTGGCTGGGTCAGCAGCAGCTTCAGGAATTGCTGTTGTAGTAGATGAATGGAATGTAAGTGACATCGTTGGCTTTTTTTCTTTAAATCAAACCCCTATCAAGATATTTTAATCAAACCCAAACCCCAGGTTTTTCAGGGAGTCTGTAGAAATTGTACTTCTCTCTGGTTTTGAAAAAGTTTTAATTTTCCTCTCCTTAAGTTTTATTTAACTTTTAGCACCTCTGTAATCCCATTCTGCCAAGGGAATTCCAGTCACATTATCACTCACCTTTGAGATGTTTGTCAAGCAGCTCTTCCCACCACACGTGTCATTTCTATATGATTGGATCCCTTCTTTCACTTGACCACCGCAATTTCCCTGTCACTTTTTTCTCTCTTTTTTTCTAGACACTATGTATGAAGCCCCGAGCTGGATGYGAAGAACAAAAATATTGTAAAACAATGATCCCTTTTTGTAAGGCTTACATTCCAGTTGAAGAAACAGACATGCACTCACTACAGTGTAGAAAGTGTTAGGAGAGAAGAATTGACAGTGTATTGAGGGATCTCATAGGGGCACATCCCTCATAGGAGATGGGTAGTATTCGTACATGTCAAGGGAGCTTCTTGGCATAGATGCCAGAAGGATGATTACAAATGGTCCAAGTGGGGTTAGATGGAGGCAGTAATAGTAGAGTGAGAGGCAAATGATTTGAAAGACAGTAGACAGAATCTATAAGTCTTTGTGATTGAGTTCCTTTTGTGAATGGTTCTATTGTTGCTGCACTGGTATAAGCCATGTCCTCTTAATCAGACTCTAAGTTCTTTAAAGACAGAGACAATGTCCTCTCTTCCACTCACACCACCCTACATCTATCCCATGGCTGGGATATGTGGTAAATGTGCTATAAATACTTCTTGAGTGAACTGAGTTTGTTTTTGTTGTTCTTGTTCTTTTATCCTTTCTCGTATTTACATATACTTGTGCCTACATATTGGCCAGAGAAAGGTGCTTGTGTTGAAGAAAGTTGTATCCTAGTGAAAGTTAAAACAGATCATCCCTTGATGGCCTCAGAAAGTGACCTTAAGTCATCACAAATGCCTTTGCCCCTCTCTTATTGAAWATTCTGCCCCTAATTTTATTTTAGTAATATCAGGGACTCTATTATGTACCCAGTATCCGGATACACTTTGTGGACAGAGTTTTGTTTTGATAGTGCTGTGGACTCTGCCTCTGGAGTCCTGTTCAGAGTGACCTACGTCCAACTGGGTGTGATTATTAGGCTGCAGATAACTCAGGTTTTCCAATATTAGTCTGTGACCTTAGGCATTGCTAATCTCTATGATACTCACTTCTCACCTCAGTAAGACAGGAATAACTGTGCTTATCATACCTGCCTTACCTATTTGTGAGAGTGGCATAAATTATATATGCAAAAACTCTTTGTGAACATTGCATATAATGCTATATTATATTGCAATCAGTATTATACATATAGAAAAATGTCAAAGTCACTAGGAATATTCTTCTATCTCCAAATTCCTTTCTTATTATTGACCACCACAATTTCCCTGTCACTTTTTTCTCTCTTTTCTAGACACTATGTATGAAGCCCCGAGCTGGATGCGAAGAACAAAAATATTGTAAAACAATGATCCCTTTTTGTAAGGCTTACATTCCAGTTAAAGAAACAGGCATGCACTCATAATATATATTATGTATATATTATGTATAATTTTGCAAGAATAAGAAATTTTGGCAAAAAGTGTATGATCTTCTAGTAGTCAATCTGGGCTCAGATCTCTTATTCTCTCTCTCTCTCTCTTTTTTTTTTCACCACTCATCTTCACATTCTCAGCCTTAGAAAAGAAACTTCTGAGCCAAACAGACACAGGAAAGGAACACCCAGTTTACTGAGGATCATAATTATTTGAATGAGACAGGATCTAAGCAAACTTTTTTTTTCAGACTCAGAAATCATGAAAATAAGTTACATAAGTCAAGCCTTTTTAACTTTACTCTTTGTTTCTTGTAGGCCATGTATATGGTATTGGTTCTAGGGTGGATCTTTGTCCCCATCTACATCAAGGGAGGGGTGAGTATCCTCCCGTGTTCAAGGTAAATCTCTCAGGTGTATTTTTAGACATTCTTTTATTCATTGTTTCTTTTCAATCATGAATTGGGCAGTCTACTGCTAAGAACACACAGGTGACAAAAACCAAATTCCTTGCCTAGCAGGGCTCCCAGTGTAGAATGCAACTGCAACCAAGTAAGAAACCTTAGTGGCCCTGCCTAATGACCACCATGGTAGAAGTCAGCCTGGTATAGGAGTCCTGAAGCTGGGGTCACCCATGTGCTTTAAGGAAAGCTTCTCAGAAGTGACCTGACCTGAGACTTAGGGATAAGAGTAACTTTTATAGGTAGAAAAATCAGATCATGAATGGTCAGAGAAAACAATACGTGGAAGCTAAAAATTCCTAAGCTTGGAGTATTTGTAGGTGAGGTTAATTTTTGGTTAAAATAGAGTATATGTGGGAGGGTGGTGGGAGATGGAGATCAGTCTAAAGGTGTAGGTGGTATTCCATTGTGAAAGGCTGATATGTATTCTAGACTTAAAAACTGTGCCCTGTGTCTTCCTAGAAATGGGCCATGTAGGTTTCAGGCATTCAAGGGTCATGATCAGATTCATGTTTTAAGAATTTCTGTTCACACAACTAAGTGGACATCTGAATTGACAATAAAATTGAGGAGGGGATTCACGAAAGGAAGATATTTAAACCTGCTTCAGAGGCTGTAGGAAGGAAGGAGAAAGGAAGGGAAACTGCTTTGGGGGTAGGGGTGACAGGTGCGATTGTAGATAAGAGTTATGCAGAGGTTGTTTATTAGAGAAGCATAAGGACAATTCTGAAGCTTGAAGCTTGAAGGACCTGAATGCATGAGGACACCATTAACGGAGCAGGTATATTTTCCAGAGGGAAGCCACATAGTAGATGATGAGGAGAACAATGCGTTCTCTTGGACATGGGTGAGTTTTGTGCCTTTAGGATTCCATCTTGGTTCATTTTGTGTTGTTTAACAAAATTCCTCAGGCTAGGTACTTTATAAAGAAAAGAAATTTATTTAGTTAACAATTCTTAGGGTTCAAGAGTTTGGTGATGGCATCTGCTTGGCTCTAATGAAGATCTCTGATGTGTCACAACATGGTGGAGAGGAAGAAATGGAAATGATTGCAAGCAGAAGGGACTAAGCTTGTGGGGTGAGCTTGCTTTGTAACAACTCACTCCTTCAAGAAGTAACCCAATCCATTTATGAGGATAAATCAATTAATCCATTCATGAGAGTGGAACTTTAACATATTTTCAATCYACTAGGTTCTACCTCTTAAAGATTCTACTACTTTAACACTACCACATTGGGGACAAAATTTCTAGCACATGAAYCTTTGAGAGATAAATCATAATCACACCATAGACTTCTCTCCCTAGCCCTCAAAGTTTTTGTCTGTCTTACAATGTGAAGTACATTCATTCCACGGGAATAGCCCCCAAGACAACTCATTCCAGCATCATCTTCAAAGTGCAAGTCCAAAGTCTCATCTGAGACTCAAGGCAAACTTCTTCCAGTGCAAGCTTGTAAAATAAAACAGTCATTTACTTCCAAGATACAAAGTGGGACTGGGATAAGATAAGTATTCAAATTCCAAAGGGTAGAAATTGGCCAAAGGAAAGAAATCACAGGTCCCAGCAATATAAAATCCAGCAGGTCAAACATTAATACTTAGTCTCTAAATTGACCTCAGGAGAACTTGGACAACCCTGCTGCTGTGATTTTGCTAGGTTCTGTTGTCCATAAGGTATCTTAGGGATCGGAGTTGAGTTTCTACAGCATTTCTAGGATGGCATTACATTTTGCTGTTCTCTTTACAGTTCTAGCGTACTGGTGTGGCTCCACCCGTCATAGTCCCAGTGGAGACTCTGGTGTCTCTATCCTTGTGGCCAAACTTTTCCCGGCTTCCCAGATTTTCCTTTGAAATCTGTCCCCATTACTCTATAGTCCTTGTACTCTGTATGCCTGCAGAATTAGCACCATATGGTTGCCACCAAGACCCAATGTTTGCTTCCTTGTAGTGGCAGCATGAACTGTGTTGGTTCTAATTAAGCCACTGATATGACAGCAAAGCAATGTAGCGGGCTGTGTGGAGCAGATTACTGAGGTGGCCCTGGTGTAACAAACCCATGGAGATGACACCAGGTCTAGTCCCTAAAACATTCTGTCCTCCTAAGCTTCTGGGCCTGTGATGGACGGGGCAGCCTTGAAGATTTCTGAAATACTCCTGAGCCCTTTTCCCCATTGCCAGATACACAGCACCTGGCTCTCTTTTATCCATGCTAATATCTTAAGCAAGCAGTTGCTACACACATGCATACATCCTACACACTTTTTCTTCACTCTTTCTTTGGCCAGGTTTTTAGTCCTGCTTCCCTTTTAATTATAAATTCTGCCTTTAGGTGATACCACTGATGTGATAAGAGATTATATATTTAATCTTGTATTTCAGTAATGAAAACCACAAGTATTTCTCTAAATAGCAATTTTATGGTATTCTCTATGATTAAAAAATCCCTAAAAATAAATACCCAAGTGCAAATTTGCAATTATTTCAATTATTTGTGCATTGYATAATCATAATTATTCATTATTTGCAAGTAATATTGTTTTTAATGGATTGCAACTTTATATGGTAAAAATAAAAATTACTTGTTGAATTGAGGGTCTACCAGGCATTTGGTGTTCTTGTAGGTACTTAATTAAACCCTTTACAGATGAGAAAATAGAGATTCAAAAATATTGTCATTTGTCAGAGATCATAACATCCAGTAAATGTTGGGGCTGGAGGATCACCCAAGATGGTCTGCTACCAGAGCCTGTATTCATTCTGGTTTTGTCATCTTACCAAGGAAAGGGGCCTTTCTTATCTCTGTATTCCCAGGCACAATGTGCAGTATTTAACTGCCCATAGGTGCTTACTGAGTGTTGAACAATCTGAATGCAATAGGTCTGAAGATGAATTCCTGTTGATGTTTATCTCTGCAGGTGATGACCATGCCGGAATATCTCAAGAAGCGATTTGGAGGGAAGAGACTCCAGATCTACCTCTCTGTCTTGTCACTCTTCATCTTTGTGGCTGTGAGAATCTCTGTGAGTTCAGTGCCTTCGGGAATTATTTTAGCCTCAATAGTTTGCCTGATGGGACCAGAGTGCTAAGATTAAAGAGTGGGAGTTATAGACTTTTGATAACTTTTTATGGGGCAGACCCAATTCCCTTAGATCGCTCTACAGAGAATTAATTAGGAAAAGAGTGAGGTTTAGACTCCCTGTATTTATAGACTACTAGATTTTTGAATCATGAATGTCTCCAAAGTTTATACCCTCTCAAGAAAAATATGAAAAAAAGTTTTATACAGAAAGAACAAAATGTCTGATTCAAGTAACACTGCTACCTAGCAATAAAGAAGAGGGCTTTTCTTGTCTGTTGCCTTTGATGCTACATGATTTGAAACAAAATCACAAATGAAGTTAAATGGAAATGAAAGATACAAGTTCAATTTGGAAATTGAACAAATGTTTTATTGGGGTAAAGCAGAACTGAGGCTTTTGTAACAAAAAGGGGAACGGTGAGTTCATAGCTCAGCATTCTTGGGAAACTGAAGTTCAGCACATTTGGAAATAAGCAAGGACTGAGTGAGCCCAGTGGTAGGAAACTGACTCAAATCAGGGTGGTGAAAAATTCTGCAGATCCGTGGACATTTTCATGCTAAGGACAGACTGGTCACTCTGTGAACTATCCAGGTCTGTGGGGATATTAAGGATGTATCAGTTTTTCCATTTCCAGTTCTCACTACTGTGTTTGTGTGCAACGTATTCCTGTCAGTAAGGCACTAAGGCCTCCAAAGGGATTTTTGCTTTCTTTTTGACCATTCTGACTTTTATTGACAATAAACTTATTCTTTCTCAGAGTTAGGCCAGGTTTACATTCCCATTTTCAACCTTGATTATCACACATGAACCAGAAGAAAAGTATTTTATATTATTATGCTGACTTTTAAAATTTATCCTATTTTATCTAAGATAACTGCTATAAAACTGATGCCACAAATAAATGTTAAAATAATTTAAGACTTCTTTTTAAAGTTACATTCCTCAGAGTTATTCTCAGAAAATAAAGAAGAGACTTGAGGATTCAGTAGCACTTGTAAAAAAAAAAAAAAACAAGGAAAAGAACCAATACATTAAAAAAATAAAAAAACAAAGAAAGAATAATTCCTTTGCTCTTCATGTATCAGTAACTAAAGAGATAATCTCATTAAGTTTACAATTTAAATATGTATCCCAATATTCATGAGAGAAAATGCTGACCCTCACTATTACTCAAGTTAAATCAATGTTGCAATAAATTGCTTAGATTAGAACTCCCACCTTTTTTACTAGTKAAATGTGGGCATCTTCTAGTATTTAGTACATATTATTGAACTCAGTGTTAGGGTAACAAAGATTCCTGAGCAATGTGAATTTATCACATAGCTAAGGAGATAAGAATTCAATACACACAATAGTCTCTTATGATAATACATATAAATATAAAAAARTACAAGCTGAATAAAAGTGTGTGGATGAGTGTAGGAATCATGTTGTTCACATTCAGAAAATGGCATGGTCCCTCCTGGGTGGAATTGAAAGTCATTTTATAGAGGGGCCATTTAAGTAATCTACAGAACAAAGATGTTAGAAGAAGCAGAGGGAAGCAGAGGAGCCTGTAGGTGTCAGGGAGCTTGGTGCTTGCTCTGTAAGTAGGTTGAATTATTAATCTTTTAGTTTTTCTCTGTCGCATATACTTCTTTATGGGTCTGAAGAGCAGCAACAGGTACTAAGGCAGAATGACAGCAGCCAGAGGAGTCTCTGAGGGATACACATCCTAGAGTGGAGGGTTCCTTGTGGTGGGGGAGAAATGGAATGTTGTGTATGGTGCAGGCAATGTGTGTGTGTGTGTGTGTGTGTGTGTGTGTGTGTGTGTGCACGTGCGCCTACACGTGTATTTTATTGTGCAAGGTCTATGGTGAGCTACAAAGAAACCACAACAGGAGTTCATTCTTGCCTGCAAGATTAGATTTTAAGCAATATTAATAATTATTAATCTTAATATGATGATTTGTGTACTTTCATACTCTGATAACAGATTTTACACTGGTTACTTATTAAATGCATCACTATGAGGACTTAAGTTGAAGCAGTTTTCAGAGACCACTACAGTCCACATTGAAAAAAAGGTCATTTGTTTATTTATTCTCAACCTCCAATAACATAAATAAATAACATAAATAAATTGAGAATAAGTTTTAGGCATACAGTGTTTTAATTCCTAAGTATTTCAGTTTGCATTTACTGAAAACATTGATCTTCTTTTAGAGAACTACACTGGGAATTTTCAAATCAGAACCCTAACTTTGATACAAACTATTACCTAATCTGTTGATCTATTCAGATGTTGACAGTTGTTCCAGTCTTGTCCTTTTTAGCAAAATAAAATTCTATAACTKTAACATCATAGTTCCTCTTTATAGTGAGAAATATTTTATGATCAATGTGAATGTAGTTAATATCCTTGAATTGCACCCTTAAAATAGTTCAAATAGCAAATTTTATGTCACATATATTTTACCATGATAATATAATTTCAAAACCACCAATCYAAAGACTTCATGGAACTGTAAAATAGAAATAAAAATCAAGACATTATTAATAAGATAATTTGGGTTTAAAAATTTTAATTGACATATAATAATTCTATCTGTTTATGGGGCACACTGATATTTTGATATATTTTTATAATGTGTAATAGCATAATTATTATAGGCATCATTTAAAACATGTATTATTTCTTTGAGCTGCAAAAATTTAAAAACCTTTATTTGAAAAATACAATAAATTATTGTTGAATATGATTACTCTCCTGTGCTATAGGATACTAAAACTTATCCTTCCTATCTTTCTGCATTTTTTGTACTTAATCACCAGTCTCTGTCTACCCTCCTACCACTCTACCCTTGCAAGTTTTTGGTAACCACTCTTCTACACTCTACTTCTATGACATCAACTTATTTAGCTTCCACATATTAGTAAGAAAATTTGGTATTTGTCATTCCATTCCTAGCTTACTGTGCTTAACCTGATGTCTTCCTGGTTCATCCAGGTTATTGCAAATGACAGAATGTTAGTCTTTTTATAGTTGGATAATATTCCATTATGTATATATGTCATTTTTTTGATGGACACAATATCTTTATTTTATTTATTTACTTTTATGTGGTGCTGAGGATTGAACCTATTACCTTACACGTGCTAGGTGAGTGCTCTATCACTAAGCCCACTGAACTACAATCTCAGCCCTGTACCTCGTGTTTTATCCATTCATCCATTCTTGGATACTTAAGTTTACTCAATATCTTTGCTATTGGGGATAGTGCTGCAATAAACACGGGAGTGCAAATATCTTTTTTTTTTTAAAGAGAGGGAGGAAGAGAGAGAGAATTTTAATATTTATTTCTTAGTTTTCGGCAGACACAACATCTTTGTATGTGGTGCTGAGGATCCAACCCGGGACGCATGCATGCCAGGCGAGCGCGCTACCACTTGAGCCACATTCCCAGCCCTGCAAATATCTTTAAACTACTGATTTCCTTTCATTTGGATGTATACACAGCAGTAGAATTTCTGGATCACCTGGTAGTTATTTTTTTTCAATTTTAAAATTTTAATTTGTTACATATGACAGCAGAATGCATTATAATTCATATTACAGATATAGAGCACAATTTTTCATATCTCTGGTTGTACACAAGGTAGAGTCACACCATTTGTGTCTTCRTATATGTACTTATGGTAATTATGTCCATCTCATTCCACCACCTCTCCTACCCCCATTCCCCRTTCCCTACCTCTCCCTCCCCTTTTCCCCTTTGCCCTATCTAAAGTTCATTTAATCCTCCCATAACCTCCTCCCCCTGCCCATTATGAATCAGCATCCTTAAATCAGAGAAAACATTCGGCATTTGGTTTTTTGGGATTGGCTAACTCGCATGGTAGTTATATTATTAATTTTTTTGAGAAATTACCATACTGTCTTCCATAATGGCTGTATTGCTTCACATTGAAACTAACAGTGTATAAGAGTTCCCCTTTCTTCTCATCTTAAACATCTTGTATTTTTTTTTAATTTTAATGCTAGCCAATCTAATTTGGGTGAGATGGTATATAATTGTGGTTTTGTTCTTAATTTTCTCAAAGATTATTGACATTCAGCATTTTTCATATACTTTTGAGCTATTTGTCTTTTTTTGAGAAATATATATTCAGATATTGTATATACTTAGATATTAACCCCTTGTTGGTTAAGAAGTTTGCAAATATTTTTTTCTTTTCTGCAGATTGTCTCTTCACACCATTTATTTTTTCCTTGATATAATCCCATTTATCTAACTTGCTTATTGTTTCTGGTGCTTTTAGATCATATAAAAAATCTTTGCCCATACCAGTGCTTTGAAGTATTTCTATTTTTTTCATTAGAGTTGTTGCAAAATTTCAAGTCTTATATTTGAGACTTTGAACCWTTTTGAGTTGATTTTTGTTATGGTGAGACATAGAGAACTAGTTTCATTCTCTGTGTGTGGATATCTAGTTTTCTCTCCACCATTTATTGAAGAAACTATTCTCTATCCAATGTGTACTATTGGTTCCTTTTTCAAAAATCAGTTTATTGTAAAAATTTGGAGTAATTTCTAGGTTTTATCTTCTATTCCATTGGTCTATGTGTTGCTTTTATGGCAGCACCACACTCTTTGAGTTACTGTAACTTTGTAGTATCTTTTGAAGTCATATATTGTGATGTCTCCAGCTTTGTTCTTTTTGCTTAGAATTCTTTGGTTACCAAAGCCTTTGTAATACTCATGGAATTTAAAATTTTTTTCTATTTGTGTGAAGAATGTCATTGATATACTGATATAGAATGAATTGAATTTGTAGATCACTTTGAGTAGTATGGGCATTTTACCAATATTAATTCTTCTAGTCCATGAATGTGTGACGCATTACCATTTTTCTATGTGCTCTATAATTTCCCTCATTGACATTTCATGATTTTCATT